TCATCCGGGATGGGGTCATTTAAGGGACTGTGAGAAGACCCGGCTATGCAGCACAAGTGATCTTGTGTGTGAAATTCCAAACTTTATTTTGTGTTTCCTTAAAGCTTTCCTCACCATAACATAGAAGCCTTCCTTCCGGTAGATAGCTTTGTGTCCCTTATCGCCGTTGCATGATTTTCCTAAGAATGAGCTCCAGGTATTTCCAAATAGGTTGGGCACCCTCAGGGGGTTGAGGAGGCAGAAGCGAAATAAGACATCAAAAAGGGAATTGCCGGGGACTTGGAGGTTTAAAAACATGCAGAAAATGAAATTCAGCAGCAGAAAGGCTCATTCCCGACTGCCCCCAAGAATGTGATCGCTGATACTGGAATCCTTAGGCAGTGTGAACAAGGACTGCTCTAAAAATTCCCTTACTAGCAAGTGTTCAAATGCGGGGTTCTTGGGTTTATCCTGCATCTGAGGTGACAGGTTGAGGACTCACCCTTTCAGGAATGAGTCTCTGAAGCACACGGCAACTAAAAGGTCTTCTTTTGCGGTGTGCTCTAGGAATGCGCTGCTAATTTGCTTACAGTTTGGGTGTGCCGGAGCCGCACTGAGGCTTCATGCCAGGATCATCATTTGTTCTTGTCCATCTTGTCTAAGAAGTGTACTTTTAGACTTTTGCACCAGAATCAGCTGAAGTGCTCTATGCACACAGATTCCTGAGGCCCCACCTTTCTTTGGGGTCCACTAACCCATTTAGGAAATCTGCAGAGGCCAAACTAAAAAGTGAGGGTGCAGTAAGGTGAATGCCACCTGCTGGGCTTCCTACCAGACGCGGTCCCCCACCCTCTGGCCTTCTGGCACCCTTCCTCACTGGTCTAAGGCCACTCCCACTGCTTGTTTCGTTGGGTAATAGAGACTCCAATCACTGCAAGGCCAAAGGGCTCCAGTTTCCGCTTAAGGCTCCCCAGTCCAGTTCTGTTTATGGACTACAGCAAGTGCTCAAGCAATGCCTATTGAGTAAAACAATAAATTAGTGAAGAAATCTAGGAAGGCGCTACTTGTGCATTTTAAGTGGGAGGCGGGAAGAGAAGGACAAGTATTCTGGGAGGTTCCTCCAGGTTTGTATAGTAAAGGCTTGCTGTTCGCTGGTGTGCCACTGAAAGACCATGGAAACATTTCAGGGGACCCTACTCACTGGGGCGTTTTCTCAGGGAGGGTATATTATTCCCCAACCTCTTCTGAACTCTCTGCTGTCCAGCTACTGTGAGCTGAGCACTTCTGTTTTCTACCTTGACACCTTGGCTTCACCTGGCCTCACTGGGGCCGAATGACCATGAACTGAATCCTCTGAAATGAGCTGACATAGCCCTTTTATTTTATTTTTATTTTTTTCCAGTTATTTTTTCTCAGGTATGTAGATGGAGATTTTTCTCCATCCCTCTGGGCCCACTGAACTGGTTTCTCTCCACCTACCAAGTCCCCGTCACTGCTTATGAAATAGCCACTTTGAGGTTTATTATCAGTTACAATTGGTAGACTCAGGCTTCTTACTGGCTAGCTCTAACAATAAATTAACCCATGCCTATTAGTTTATAGTTTACTATGAGGCTTGCGGCTTGTTACCTAACATCTTGCTTCCCTGGCGGCTATATGGTGTCTCCCCACTTCGTCTTCTCTCTCTCCCTATCTTTGTTTCAATTTTCCGGCTAGGTATATTCTGCCTGGCCATTGGGTAAACACCATTATTCAACCAATAAGAGAGAGACGTAGTCACATCCTGCAGAAGGACATCCTACATTCCAGGTATTGTGTCGCAAAGATGGGAAGTTGACTAGCATAAAAAGTGAAGGTCTTGCCAGCAAGACCAAACAGCAAAACAGTCATACCTGTCAATAATGATCAAACTCCTACTATGTGACAGTCATTGTCCCAAATACTTTAAATGTGGTAAAAAAAATTTCACCCAGTGAAATGCATAAGTGAAAACTACTACTATATTCTATGAAGAATAGGGAAAAATCCAATAATTTGCCCCAAGTCACTATCTGGCAAGGCAGGACAGATGACGACAGGCCCCAGCACAGCTTGGCTCCTGACCTGCTGCTCCAGAAATATAGCTACATGAATGGCACATGGCGCTGAAGGTAGGAGTGGCTGATGTTGCTAAGCATGCTCCTGCTACTGTGGGTGTTTACACCATCGACAAGGAATGCTGCCCTAAACAGGTCCCCATGAAAGGAGAAAGCAACTTGGTCTTCATCAGCCATTGGTACCCATTTGATTCTGTTCAACTGAATGAGGATCTGGGAGGACTCAATCAGCATTTCACATTGAAAACTCTCTGAGAGCTAAAATAAATAAGTAAACAATAAATAAATAAATGGAGAATCCTTTATTAGAAAAATAAATTTGTATGAAAGCAAGTGTTCTGTCTTTAATTTTCCAGCTGTATATTTAAATTTTCTCTTAGGCCTTTAATTTTATGCTAGAAATCGCAGTAAACCACTGTAGTATTTATGTATGTTCTAAAACTGTAGTGTAGGAGGACGTGCCACAAAGGAGCTAATTCATCTTTACAAATGCTCATGAATCCATAGAAGAATTTAGTTTAACCAAATCTCTGAGCAGGAGCAATATTGTAAAACTAGAGAATAAAAACTTTGCTTGTTAGAAACAAGGAGTCGGGTGAGAACGCCGCCCACCCAACAGATATGAACGTTATTACTTTGTAATGAAATAAAAGAATAATAAGTTTAGAAAATTAACTATCAAATTACACTTTTTTTTAAAGAGGGACACTTAAAATGTTGATGAACACATATAAGATGATGACTCAGGGGCACTAAAAGTGGCAAATGGGCGGGTTCTCCGCCATCGCACGACAAGGGCTGGGGATTCTGCTTTATGGCCGCCGTCATTAAACCGCGGAGTGCTGAGGAGGCAGCCGTGCTGCCACCACAGTAAAACCAGCCTTTAAAAAGATGTTTCTAATTAAATCATGAAAAATCAAAAGAGGAAGTGTTCGGGGAGACCATTTTGAAGACCTTATTAATGGCGCTGTCACGGAGAGGGCTTTATTAGATTCGAACTAGCAAAAGCCACTGCTCCACTGCTGGCGTGCGAAGTGCCACATGCATGTCGCCCTCCCGGAAACCCTTTTCTTTCAGCATAAAAGTTTCCTGTTTCGCTCTTGTTTTCTCCAATAGCTGGATCTTTTGGTTCAGTTAAATTCTAGTTACAGTACTTTGACATTTGATTTCATGCTTTAATTAATCTCTATCCATATATGTCCACAGACTATTTGCTGCCTTTTCTTGCCCAGCACTTTGCGTTCTACTTGTGTGAAGAAATCATCCAATCACTTCCTTTCCAGAATAATGCCACTTAAGTGTTCATTGTTTAATGTATGAATATACTTTTTAATTAATTCTGATGATTTTCTTCTATATACCTTTGGCTTCAAAGCCAACCAAATTCCTTGTGATTGCTATATTTCACTTTCTGTAGTTTTTAACCTCAAAGCTCCCTCTAATACTTTTTTCAATGGCTTAGTCCTTCCTCTTCTGCTTTCCTCTCCCTCCCACAAGTCCTCTATTTGATGAACGTGAAAATCGATTTTCTGGAGATCCTGTCTTTGTCATTGAGGTCCAGGTAGTCAGGCAGAGCATATTTCAGGCATATCAAAATATTTTTATATCAAAATTAAAGTTTTCACTTTATGAAAATGGCCTTTTAATCTCTTGATAGTTATTAAAATAAAGTTCTTCTGCATTTCTAATGAGTAGTAACTGTCTCTAGTAATTTTTATGTTGCTGAGATAAAAATACCCTGGCAAAAGCAATTTAAAGTAAAAAGGTTCATTTTATCTCCCTGCTCAGGGTTGCAGTCCATCAGGTAGGAATTCATAACAACAGGAACCTGAGCAGGAACAGCTGGCCACATTGCATCCACAGCAAAGAAGCAGAGTGTAGTGCCTGAGCTCTACAGAGCCCAGAGCATGGAGTCTCCTGCATTGGGTGGATCTTTGCACCCAACTTGTCCTAGTAAAGACACTCTCCCACTGCCAGCCCCAGATGCCTGCTTCTTGGGTGATTCTAGATTTTGTTCAGATCACTTATCCCAGTAACCATTAAGACAAACAAACAACGACAACAAATCCTAGGGATTATTTTTATAGTAAAGCATCCATTTTACCACCCTGCTCTATGGTGGACTGAATGGAAGCATTCTCCACAGGCTCAGATACCTTTGTTTCTGCTTGGTGGTATCGTTTGGGGAGATGGTACATCTTTTGAAAGAAGCATGCCACTGGGCAGACTTAGACATCATAGCCAGCACACACTTGCTGTTCACTGTCCTTGCTTCATTTTTGCAGTCGAAGATGTTCTCTCTCAGCATCCTGCTCCTGCTGCCATGTCTCTCTCCCACCATAGTGGATTCCTATTCCTCTGGAACTGTAAGCTAAAATAAACCTTCTCTTCCGCAAGTGCCTTTTCATCATGGTGTTTCATCGCAGCCACAGAGAAACAATGAATAGATTCTCTTTGATTTGACCAAAGGAAAGGACAACAATCCTTGACCCATCCATATTTCTCATATCTAATAACCCCACTCCTTTAGCCAAATCACCTGACCTCAATAACATGGTTTATAACCTGAACTATTTCCTCCACAGATCTCCAGCCATGACCCTTCCAGTCAGCAATATCTCAGTTTGCTTGGCCAATGTGACAGACCATATTTTCTGCTGTGCTTAAGATAGTGAGGATAGCTAAGAAAAATCCCCAGGACCTTCACTCAGTTAGTACCGTCACACATTTACAGCCGGGAATGTTGGGACTTCAGTGCTATACCATAATCTTAATTGCACCCTTTCGTCTGCCCATCCCATCTGAATTCTTCAGCATCCTGTATCTTCTATGACTTCATCACCAAATAAGCTTGCCTACTACTTCAGAGACATTAGCTTTATTCCCTGTCTACTTTACCTCCATCACTGGAGATTTAAGAAAAGCAAGGATGAATGGCAGGGGAGATACCATAATAATGAAGGTGTTTTTTCCCAGGGTGAGTCTTATTCATTGCACTCTGGATGTGCTGACCCAGAGATTTCCCCAAATGTAGGAAACATGATTGCATAATTTGTGGTAGTGGGGGGACTTTGCACTCTTCCCTGGATTAAAAAACAATTGCAGATAATTATGGAAGAATAATTAGTATCTCTTTTCACTTTTCATAAAGTTCATACCTTATAATAAGACAAAGAAGAGGAAAGTGTGCACATTTATTCAACACAACTGTCTTGAATAGGAGCCTTTACAAAGGAAGACCAGAGACTGGTGGGATGACTCAGAAAAAAGGAGCACTTTCTGCTCCTCCAGAGGACCGCAGTTCAGGACCCAGGACTCACATCAGGTACCTCACAAACTGCCTCTAGCTCCAGCTTTGGGAGATATGATCTCCCCTTCTGGTCTCTACAGGTACCCATAAACATGCCATACATTCCTGTTCCCCACCCCATAACTAATTATAAACCAAGAGTTGACAATCACTTCAAAATGTGGCTGCCCAGCAGGGGGTGTGGTCTAAAGACAATAAACAGAGGGCAACCCAACCTAGTAAGGCCTGTTTGTTCAAAATTCTTCACTGTATATCTATGTCTTCATTGTTTCCTCGGGTGTTAAGGCCTTTGCTGTAACAAAAGTCTTATGATCTTTTCTACAAGAAGATCAAAGGATTAGTGTACTGCCTGCTGCAGGGGAGAAAGGAGGAAAAATCAAAGAGTACCTCTGTTTTCTCAAATGCCAAGACCCCATGTTTAGGGTAGTAAAGCCTAGAACTTGTCCAGTTTAGGTTGCCTTATTGTTGCTGAAGGCCCATCCCTGTGCTTGAGATTTCAGAACTTTCTGTCTGTCCTAAGACTGTGTTGTAATAGGAGTGGCGGGGCTGCATCCCCAGCACCCCGGCCGTCTGCTAGCTTATACCCCGAAATAATTACATGGACACTGTATTCTTTTAAACACTGCTTGGCCCATTAACTCTAGCCCTTACAGGCTAATTCTCATATCCTGATCAACCCTCTCTAATAATCTGTGTAGCATCAGTCTTACTTGGAAAGACTGTCTGACCTGGCAGTTTGTTTCATGGCGTCTGCCCGGGAGAGGGGAGCATGGCCTATGAGCTCACTTCCTCTTCCTCCCAGCATTCTGTTCTGTTTACTCCTCCCACCTATGTTTTAACCTATGAGGGCCAAGCAGTTTCCTTATTATAATTAACCAATGACCTTCCTCCATCAAGACTGAATTTCTTATTGTTATCCATGTATTTTATCTTCAATTGATTTTCTTAACATCTTAGTCACTGCTCTATTGTTGTGCAGTGATACCATGACCAAGGCTACTCTGAAAGCATTTACATGGAGACTTGCTTACAGTTTCAGAAGCTCAGCTCATTATCATCATGGTAGGAAGCATGGTGGCATTTATGGTACTAGAGAAGTAGCTGAGAGCTTTACATCCTGATCCAAAGGAAGAGAGAGGAATGAGAGAGACACAGAGAGAAAGAGAGAGAGACTGGCCTGGAATAAGCTTTTGAAACATCAAAGTCCATCCCCAGTGACACACTTACTTCAACAAGGACACAGCTCCTCCAACAAGGCCATTCCCCCTAATCCTTTCAAGCAGTGTCACTCCCTGGTGACTAAGCATTCAAATACGGGACCTCATTTTCATTCCTCATTACCCTCTCCATGTGTCTGGCCACCTCCAACTCTTAAATAAACACTATTGCTGCTCCCACCCATCCTTTCCCTTTTCAGCTTCCACCATTCTCACTTATGCTAAATTAGTTTGACCAGAGGACAGGAAACTCGTGCTTCCTCTGTACCTCTCTAGTACTCAGGTTGTCCCTTCTGAAGGGCTTAGTCACCTCCAGAGAGCCAAGTCCAGTTGTGGGGCTTTGCTTCTTGTCTTGTTGGGCTGTTTGACACTATCGACATTTTCTTGAAGCTTTCTACTCATTTGGTTGACATTGCACTGCCTGTTGTCTCATTCTCTTCCTTCATCTCTATATATTTCTGGGTTTATGATTCTCTCTACAGGGATGCCCCAAGAAGTTTGCTTTCACTCACTAATCTCTTTTCACTTTGTATACTCTGTAATCATCTAGGAATTTCATCATTCTTCTTGATTTTGAGTGTTGCATAAACTAATAAACTCAATGAATATTCATCTCCTCTTTAGGTACTCAGCTACCTACCTACCTACACTATCCCTTTAGATGTCCTATAATAACTATATTTGTATCATCTGAAGTGAAGCACATCTCTACTGACCCCTTCCTGTAGTTCACATTTTTTTCTTCTATGAATTCAGTGATGTTGGTGCATCTAAACACAATCTACAACTCATTCCTCTGCCTAAACACTTTTTGACACATTAGCACCTGAAGGTAGATCTTTCCATTGGTGTAATGAAGGACCTGGCTCTTCCTTACCCACCTCCCCATTCTCACTTCCACATTCACCCAGCCTCATGGTTTAAGCTTTAGATACTCTAAACTATTTACACTCTTCCAGAATCTCTATATGATTTTCTGATAGACATCTTTGTCCATGCTATTTCTGTGTCTAAAATACTAGTAAAAACTTTTGAGAATTTACTATCTTATACTCTTATTCATCTTTCAAAACTCATTCCAAACAATATCTTCACTAGACTTTATCAATCAATAACTGTGGAAATAGGAGAAGGCAAAGCAATTCACCTCCGAGAGCAGAATTTGCCAGGGCTGAGCTTTTATGCTTATTTGTGCTCCTTGGTGGATATTTTAGAAGTGTACACTGAGGACTAGCTGCTCATGCACAAACAGGTGTTTGAACAGTATCACTCCCTTTAAAATACTATTTTAAGAGCATGTTTAGGTACCTTACTGTTTCTACATTTGGTTTTAATTGCATTGTATTTTCCACTTTGGAGGTAATAAAATAGAATTACTAGGTATGAAATAGTGTCACTGTTTTCTGTTTCCTGGGTTAGATGAGTTGAATAAGGAAGGATCCGTGGGTGCCCAAATGTGCCACAATGCAGGGGCCCTGGAGTGTGGCCCATTCTGTGCACATTTTACATGCTGGCTAATGCACTGAAGGCCCTCCAGTTTATGTTAGGTACTGTAGCCTTAAAATATTACATTTTTAGCACATTCTCCAATTATTCTTCAGAATAACAAGAAAGGAAGAAAGACTATGCTGGTCCAAGGCCACGAAGGAACTGTCCTGCACTGGGCCAACAGTTTTCATGGATGCATCTACAGCTGAGTCATTTTCAAAGATTTCTGTAAGTGTGTAATACCACAAGTCACATTATACTGTATTCTCCCCAGAATGAATCATTTTATTAACATCTGCTTTTTATTTTGTTAATTTGCCAATGAAACAAAGCCAGGTATTTTCCATTGATCTGCCTAGATGCATACCCATGAGATACTCTTTTCCCCAAATATTTGGTTACCACAGTAGTTTTTGTTGTAATAATTACATTATTATTATTATTATATGTACAAGTGTTATGTGCATATGAAATGTGTGTATAGGGCATCTATGCACCACAGTGCCCAAGTGGATGTCAGAGGACAATTGTGTGGAGTCAGTTTTCTTCTTCCTCATTTACACATACTCTGGGGACCAAACTCAGACCATTAGGTTTGCTCAACAAGAGCCTCTACTCATCTTGCTGGCCCCAGTAGCTATTTAGTGATCATATTTAAATAACATAAGTTATTCACATTGTCCATTTGGCATTCCTCTTCTTAGTAACATTTATACCTTATGGTTACACTGTTTTCTGTATATTCATGAAGGATTATTAGAGACCATTTATTCTGTCTTCCTTTATTTTTATCAGCATTAGTTCAGCTCTTCTTTGAAGGTCTTTTATTGTTTATACTCCAGGAACATTCCCTTTCATATTGCATGCTTTATTCAATGTCAAATAATATTTTTATTTAAGTAGAAGAGTGTAATATCCCTGTCCTTTGCTTTATGAAAAGTTAGCTAGGGACTGACCATACAGGGAAGCCCCAAAGCCCAAAGACAACAAAGCCAGCTTCTCCCACTTGAGAATTCTCCCCAGACAAAAGGCTTTCCTGTTCTTCCTCCTCTTCCTCCTCCTCCTCCTCTTCCTCCTCTTCCTCCTCCTTCTCCTTTTCCTCCTCCTTTTTCTTCTTGTGAGAATGAAAGCTCTGATTTTGTTCGTGACTTGGAAAATAAAGGTGTGGCTCCTGAGCATTGTTTCTATGTGGGGGTGGGCAGGTGGGTGAAGGAGGGCATGAGCTGAGATGAAGAGATGGCAGTGCATGCTGTCTGTGAGGTCCTTTCCTCTCCACCCCTGTCTTTGGGGCCCATCAACTAGGTCAGACAGACCACTCTGCATCTCAGGCCCTAACCATCTCTTTACTTTAATGTTGCAACCATCTTCCCTCTACCTGCCCTTTTGCATTAATGTTTTGATATTACCCTTTTGGCATTACTGTCCAAATAATTTGCTTCCACCAAAAACCAAGTGTGAGCTTTGTGTTTTTAAATAATTAATATAAAAGTTTTCTAAAATGAAGGAATTAATACATTAAAATTCATACATGATATAGACATTGCCTTCTGCTTTGAATTATTTTGATGAAAAGATAGTTCTAAATTTTTTTATTTCTTTTTCTATTTCTATTTTATTTTCTATATTTCTATTCTGTTATGTTTTGAAAATTTCTAGTTATTTTAGGTGTTTTCTGTTGGTATATTATGGATTCATTTGTATTGTTTAGAGTTTTTCAATGATAAATGTATTGCCCATTAAATGTATATTTAGTATATGGAAAATTTTCAAAAGAAAATTCTTTTTGGTAAAAATCTTTTCTCTAAACAAGAACTTATAACAAATTTTAGCTTATAAAAATAAGAAAGCTTTTTTTACCTGCTTTTCTACATTCTTGGTTCTGTATTTGAGGGTATCTTTAGTTTATAGAAGATAAATTTAAAAGCTCTGATGCATTGTGCAAAATGAGTAATAAAATAGATCTGATGCATCAATTGCTAAACAATTGTATTAAAAACTAATTACTTTGGAAATCTGAGCTATTAATTTTGTTGGTTCTCTAATGCTGTAGTTATTTTAACCAAGTTGTCCT